TTCGAATTTCATTTAAATGCAAATTTAACTTTTATAAAATATAGGTATTTATGCGATGTCTTTATATTTAGTATAAAGACTTCAAATGTATTCACTTTTTTTGTTTAAGTTGATGAAGGACGAAATGTATATTGTTATTCGAATTATATTTTCAAGCAAATTCAACTTTTTTCAAAATATAGTCATTTATGCAATGTCTTTGTATTTAGTGAAAAAACTTGAAATGTATTTACCGTATTTTGTTTAAGGTGATGAAGGACCAAATATCTATTGTTATTCGAATTTTATTTTCAAGTAAATCTAATTTTTTTAAATAGAGTCATTTATACGAGGTCATTTATGCAATGGCTTAATATCTAGTAAGAAAACTTGAGATGTATTCACCCTATTTAGTTCAAGGTGATGAATGACCAAATGTGTTTTGTTATTCAAATTGAATTTTCAAGCAAATTTATATTTTTAAAATATTGTCGTTTATTCCGATTTCATTATAATTAGTAAGAAAATTAAGATGTATTCACCGTATTTTCTTTAAGTTGATGAAGCACCAAATGTCTATTGTTATTCAAATTTCATTTGAAAGCAAATTTTATTTTTTTTAAATATAGTTAATTATGCGATGGCTCTCTATTTTGTAAGAAAACTTGAGATGTATTCACCCTATTTCGTTTAAGGTGATGAATGACCAAATGTCTATTGTTATTTGAATTTCATCTTCAATCAAATTTAAATTTTTTAAAATTTTGTCATTTATGCGATGTCTTTATATTTAGTAAGAAAAATTAAGCTGTTTTCACCCTATTTCGTTAAAGCTGATTAAGGGCTTAATGTATATTGTTATTCGAATTTTATTTTTGAGCATATTTAAATTTTTAAAATATAGTCATTTATGCGATGTCTTTACATTTAGTAAGAAAACTTGATATCTATTCACTTTAATTCGTTTAAGGTAATGAAGGACCAAATGTCTATTCTTATTTGAATTTTATTTTCAAGCAAATTTAATTTTTTTCAAATATTGTTATTTATGTGTTGTGTAGTTGCGGCAAAAGTGTTGTCACTAATTGAATCTTTGGTTGTTCGAGCTGAACCAACTTGAGGGTTCAGCCGAAACGGTTTCAGGCCTGTCGGAGGGGATTGAGTTAGCAATGACCCTGTTGAAGCATGTAAATGGACCTCGTTGCCAAGCCACACCTCTAGAGGACTCTGAATCCACTAACACACAGCCCAGCTAGTCCACGAAGGACTAGTTAAATTGCAATGGATCGGCGCTCCCTTTGCTATGGGCTAAAGGGTCTCAATCTCGACCGCCTGTCGAATTTTCAACGACCCTCCGTGTGGGTACATCCAGTCCACTTCAACCATGCTACTCGACTCAGGCCACACATACACACAAACACATACATTTCAACCGTCTGTCCATCGGCCTCTCGGTTGAGGCTGAACAGCCAAGTCCCACCTCGTCAGGCCAACTGTCTCACAGAAAAGCCAGCAAAAGTGGGGTTCTGTTCTCGGAAGATAGCGCCGCAATGTGATTCCGTGTCACCTTCAACAGCACAAACTGTTGGTCACCATTCACATTCCAGCTGGTCGATCCGTAGCAAGGCACAACATTGGAACGCTGGTAAGCATTCATTAAACCCACCTTTTATAACACTTGCAAATGGTATTTCTTTACGTCTGCGTCGAACCTACCGCCACTCCGATTTCACGAACAATATAGAGGCCCGACTAGGCTGTGGAGCCTTGATCTGACTGGTTCTAGGCAGTCTTTCCTAATTGAATAATCCCTTCGAAAAAGAGCTTGTTTGACGTTGAAAAACGCACCTTGTCCGGAGTCCATTGGATCATGCATCATCATTTCCAAAGTCGGACCGTGGACGTGGTACATTCCAAAATGTTTCGCCGACATCGTCAGCTAGTATTGCCATGCTTAGCACCATTCAACAGCTCGTCAAATAGACCAAAGTTTGGGAATTTACCACGTCCAAGGTCCTACTTTGCAACTGCTCACGCATACGATGCACTCCGGACTCGGTGCGTTCCTCTACGTCGTCATACCAACATGACCAAGTTGCGAAAACAAGGTCAAACAACCTGGATACAACGAAAGCAGACTGTGACCACACAAAAGGCCACACCATCTTGGTCTTCATGCCTTTGATTAATCCCTTCGTAAGTCAGTACTACTCATTCATTACTCAATACGTGATCACTCATTTTCTCAACCCTCTCAATTGTTGAGCTTAATTTATTTCGAGTGAAAGTGTTGCGTGAAGATATTCGAAGGTCGGTTCCAGCAGATGACCAGCTTTCGATTGGCTTTACTGGAAGCTTAATGATGACGCTGTTTCCGAGGCAGTCTCCTTCGATTCCGATAAAAAGGTGCTAAGCTTTTGTCCGTCATATGACGAGCATCATCAGAGCGAGGTAACATCATCACCACAAAATTCAAGCTAACGAGTCAAGAAAATTCACCAGCAATCCCTTAAAAGTGGTACCACTACTCTACATCAGGCCTCTTTGATAAAGTATAAAGTGATTTGTTTATTTATGGTCATATGTCAACTTCGAGGCCTGTAAGTGTGTCTGTCTATGTATGTGTATGTGCCAGTTTGTGTTCGCTTATGCACGAAACCCGCAGTAATGGCTTAGAGTAATTATGACAGCAAAAAGGAATGTCTGATTTTGGCTATCACGGTTTGATGATCCCTATCTTCCCCTTTCTACAGACATGTTATAACCATCACTTCGATTGCGCAAGGCCGGACACTCGTCTGATTGTGTTAATGAGCCTTTTTTGGTTTTTGGTTTAAATGCGAGAGAGAAAAAGTGAGCTAAAAGTACAGAGAAGTGACTATGATTAGAACCAAGACAAGAAAAGATAGTTGTATTTTCTTCTTTTTGCAGGCGGCTCAACTCCCTTTCTATGCTTTAGTATATTAATTAAGCACAATTAATTTTTACTTATATTCTTGCCGGATATAGACTATATTTACCACTTTTTAGGCATTTGCCGGTGACTTTTCTTGACAGGTTAACTACAATTTTGTTTTGACGATGATACCTAACGCTGATGATGTCCGTCTTGTAACGGACGAAAGCTCAGCACCTTTTCACCGTATTCGAGTTAGAATGTCTCGGAAAAAGCGTCAGCATGAATCTTCCAGTAAAGCCAATCAACAGCTGGTCAAGAGAAATTGACCGTCGTCTTCTGGTGAAACCGACCTTCGAATCTCTTCACTCAACACTTCCACTCGAAATGGAAGTAAGCTCAACAATTATGAAACAAGAGATTCTTGAAACCGAACTTTTCTTGTATATCAACCGTCTTAGCCAAGCCAGACATGGCTTCTGACTATCTTTGCTATCATCTGAGAAGGCCGGCTATGTCATATCATGCATTTTTGTACGCTCCAAGAGGTCATATTACTTGTCCTGAAGCACAGGTTACATTGTTCTGGTGCAAGAAATTCGGTACATTTTGAGACTAGCAAAGTTATTGCCGCCTGATGCCACATGACGCGGTGAGGTGGACTCCGAGACCGAACACTCAAGCCGATCTTGGCGGTCGAGGCCGAATTCCTTTCGCCAGAGCACCCACAACCAAGGGCAGTGAGTTTTCTTCCGAAAGGTCATGCGGATTGGGCCCCGACACCCAAAAACGCTTGGAGCAACGGCCTCACGATGTGTTTCTGGTTGAAATAAAGTCATTCAGGCCTTGTTGTCTGTCGGTTTCATTTTAACCGAACACTCTGAGCCTACGGAGCATCGGGCAACGCAACTTAGATGCAGGATATTAAGGATCTAAAGTTGTTTTCATGTTGTAAAGTATATATTGGCTTTTGACGACTGTTATTTGATCGGAAAGTGGATATTGAAAGATTAATATGCCAATCTAAATCAAGATTTTATATACTTACT